AGCATTTAATATTGAAACAATACCAAAAGATATATTCCAATACATCTCTAATATATCTCCAATATTTTCGTATTTTTTATTAACACCTTTCCTATTTTACCAAAGACTGTTAAAATCAGGACTCACTTCAAAAACTGAGTAAAAAGGTTTTCTTTAGGACAGTGAGACTTCAAAAAGCAAAACAAACAAAAAAAACAGCAGTAAAAATAATTCTCTGAATTAAGACCTAGCCCTTAAGCATCATTTTATTAATTACTTGAAAGATAAAAATGTATAAATTTATTATAAGGAATATACTCTAATAAAACTTTGATATGTGCAAATATATAATGCTCATATATGGAAGGAAAGAAAGTAACATTTGAGAGCCTACAGTTAGTGAAACATTACGCTAAGTACTTTGTATATATTATTTCACAAATCCTCACAGCAACATTGTGAAGCAAATATTTTACAAATTAGGGAACTGAGGTTCACAAGGGCTTAGCAATTTGTCCAAGGTCCACAGGTAAGCAAACAGAGACAGAATCTGACCTGGAAAAGAAATTCCTTTAAAGACCCTTGAGCTAAGTGCCCTTCTCTTCAAAGAATCTGATGGCATACTGGACAGAAATGGAAGGTCTACATGGAGAAAAAGTCCCAGAATTTCTACCAACATCTTGCTTTGTGAATTTAGGAAACAACTGAGCCTTCTTTTTTTTCATCTTTATACAGAAGCCACTACCCCACCTTGCAGGACTGTTAAAGAAACTGGTTATGTCAAGAAGACAGGCTGGTCTAGGTCCACACATAAAAGGTACCCAAAACATGGTAGTTTTGCTGTTACTAATAACATTACTTTCTGGGGGGAAGTTTCTGTTTAAAGTTCACTAACTATAGGATCCCAACAGAGCTAAACCTATTGCTCTTAAGTCTATTTTGATTACAAAACAGGAACAACAAGGAGATGTCTGCACCAACAATGGATGGGTCCTGATTAAAAAATAACATAGACTGTTCAAGTCTTATTTCCTTCTGGTGATTAAAATGTACTACATTACGTTTAACAAACATTTTTAAAAGTAAATAAAACTCAGGGGTATAAAGGAACTTAAAAACTCTCTAGGCCAATCAAATTCTAAGGCTTAATCATAATAACTATAGCCTTAGCAGAGAAATTACCAGGAGTCAGAAGTAAAAAGAAAAAAAGTCCTTAGGAGAGAATAACTTAGAGGTGCAAGACAGAGATGATGGTACTGGGAAACCTAAATGGGTTTATTTATTAGTTCAACACCCACAAGAACATAGCATAAAATACTTTAAATGTAATTCCTGAAGAAATATTAAAACTCATCTTTAACAGGGTCTCAAGGTTTCATCCTTTCTCTTATTGCAGTCAATTCTATACTTGGAACTGTCTAAAAAGGAAAGACACTGTTTCTAAAGAAAGTGTTAATTAAGAGTCAAAGTCAAAGATTCCTCAACATATTTAAAATGCTTCACGTTTCAAAGCACCAAATACAGAAAAATGTACAGGTCGACTTCTTGGCAAAGAAAGTACACACTGGGGTCAGAATGTCTGAATTTAAATCCGGGATCCACTACTTATTCTGTAACCTTGAACAAATCTCCCAATGTCTTCTATAAAATGCCTCCAGTGAGTAATAATCTATAAAGCCAACAAAATATTTCCTAAAAGTACCACAAAGCAGAGGCACCAAAAAAAAAATGAGAAAAATTTTCTTAAAAAATTTGCTGTTTGAAAAAGACAGCAACTTAGCCACAATGGTAAAATGAACTTTTACTAGACTTTCCTATGCTTGCTTTAGTATGCATTTTTTTTTTTTTAAATCCCACATAGGGGAGAAGTGCGGCCCTTTCAGTGCTTAGGGTTTCTACAGTTTTTAATCCAGCACTGCGTACTTCAAAGCATTGCTGTAAGGATTAAATGAAGTGATGCACATAAAGCCCTCAACATAATGCCTGTCATACAGTAGGCACCCAAATGTAGCCATCATTCTTATTACTATCATTAGGATTATTTCTTTTTACATGTTTCAGACTAGTCTAGTACCTTTCTGGTACCATCCCTGTGGTAAATGTCATCATATGCATACACTTTTTATTCTCATGCTTCCACACTCGTTCAATAATATAAAAGTCTTGGGGGAAAAGACTTTAAATAGTCAGCGTTAAAAATAGCTTTATCATCAGTCATTATTATGTCACTAAGCTAAATTCAGAACTGGGAAATCGTATGTCAAACAAAAACACCTCTAGCTTTTTGCATACTTCTTTAAAGTTATATGTAAAAATATATTTCTATGGTTCTATTAAATTTCTGGAGACACAGCACACAGTGTGGTTATTTAAATATATTTCTATTTCATAGAGTCAACTAAAAGCTCAAAAACAAATGAAAATTAACTATGTGATCACATAAATGGATTACTCTTTTGATTACACTTTTTCCAGGCTTATGTGAGGGATTTAAAAGTAAACAGATAATACATAAAGTATAGCACATCTTAAAGTGAGAATAACAGTGGTCAAGAGTGCCTGTATTTAAACATTTTTCTATTGACGCGTAACTTCAAATTATACAGAAAATTTGCTATAATATAGTTGTACAGAAAGGGATTTAATATAAAAGTATGAATAACCTATGCTTATAAAACAAAAAAAACATAATGATTGTTTATTTTCATTCACAGAGAAAAATCAAAACACTGAGGGGATGAACCATTTAAAACTCTACTACTTAAATTAAGCCACTGCGACAATGTGAAATTCTCACATGTTAAACCATCCATTAAACTTTGGTTGAAAAAAGCATGGAACCAACCACACAGGGTGTATCTACAGGTTTTAGAGCAGCTTATGATACATCTTAACAAGGTGTACAAAGCATTAACTTACTTGGCCTTTACCTATCTGCCACCTTTGTCTCTCCACACCCCCTCTGCATCCTGCACCCTCACTATACAGACTGCAACTCTCTAAACATGTCATTGTCTTTCTCACACCTAAAATGTGCTCTCTACCTTTATGGTCCACGTAAAGAAGTTAAATCTAGTTATATTTTAAGACTTGTCTCCAGCTTAACTTCCTCTATGAATACTTTTCCTACCATACTAACCCTCCTATAGAATCTATGACTGGTTGTTCAATGCCCCCAATTTCTTTGTATATAGTATCATAATACCTATGGTATTTGAGTAGACTTATTGACATGTCTCCTCCTACTAAACAATTACTTCCCTGAGAGCAAGATTACTGTATTACTCACCCTTTTATGTCCAGTAACTAACACGTACCTAATAAGTAGTAAGCATACAACAAATATATGATGGATGGATGTATTAATTCAGTTTGACCTTGCAATGAAGATGACTATGAAAACAATCTTGAGAACTAGAAAACATTTTCCCTCCAACAATCAGATTCAGTTACATAGATAAAATTTGTGTTGAGGAACGAAGAAATACAAACCTCACTCTAGATATGCAGAAGTAAAAAAATAGTTGTATACTCATGTAGAAAATAAAATTTCCATTAATTTGCCATTTATAAGTTTCAGTTTACTATAATCATAATAGGAAAATTGCTATGTATTCAATTATAATAAGAAAATATCAGTAACATTTCCTTTATAAATAAAGTTTGTCATAAATTTTTAAAACTCTTATTTTCAGAATGTTACAGAAAATCCATTTATAAATGTGAACCACAGCTGATATAAATTAAACCAAGTGTAAAACATTCAAGGTAAATGAAACTGATCACTGAATTAATCAATTAAGTAATTACCTTATTTAATCAGCATAATACCTATCACTACTATGAATTAAGTTCTTAAATATCTATTTAGCTAATTCCCTAAATTAAATTTTCTCTGAAAAAAACCTAGTATTTTCTTCTATTCTTGACTGATACTCCGTGTGACTTAAAAATTCTTAAATTCTAATAAGAGTAACAAAAATAATCACAGCTACTATATAATAAGTATTTGCCAAACGCTAATTATCATTTCACAAATATCTCATTTAAACCTTATACAAATTCTTTAACTTTTGCATTTGTATTTCCTTGAGATAGCCCAAGAAGAAACAGCTTCTGGGAGATCCAATTAACTAAAGTCTCCATACCGACAAGAAGGAAAGACTATCTGATTTTGAAGCCTCTGCTGTTTCTACAACAGTATGCCACCTTTCTTAATCCTTCAACAAATATGTTCTTCATCCAATTTATGCAGTATTAAAATTGGGTTGACATTATTTTAAATTTACACCAGGTAAGAAATATAATGTGAGTATTAAGAGCAAAACACCCCTTCAAGGTAAACTTTTCATGTGACAGTAAGAATATTTCATCATTTTGAATAACACAATTATATTGTGGCACAGAAAGGAAAAAATGTTTTCCTTTGTGTGATATAAAATACATATAAAGACACAATTCTTTATTGAACAATATAAAATAGTCCAATTATTTCTAGATCAATTTGTTGTTCAAAGCTTTTTCTTTCAAACATAGAAACCAGTCAAAAATATTTTTCTAAATTAGTAAGTCACTGAACATATAGGTAGAATTTCTAAAATTTTGAAGTTTATTATTTCCATCAAAGACCTCTTAGAAATAGAAACTGCTGGACAAATGTTAACAGTTATTACTAGGGTAACCATATAATTTATCATTCAAACCTATACACTTTTTGGAGCAGGGCACTAATTATTACAATTTAACCACAGATTTAACTAGGACTGTCCGAGTAACCAGGACATGTGGACACCCTAACAACTGCCCTCTGACCCTTCTGCTATTCATTACACTCACTGTCCTCCTACAGCTATCTAGTGGCAAGATAAAGAAGCCTACTGTGTAAAACCATTTGGCTACATATTTGACTATTGCAGCACAATATTAAAGAAATACTTTCTTTGCTTACCACCCATGTTTTAAAAGGCTATTTCATTAAGATAGTTCACATTAATATAAAACTTTAATAACTTCAACTATACCTCATTCTGAAGTTCATCACCACTTTTAACAGAAGCAAGCATATCATATAAAGTACAGCAAAGATCTTCTATTCTTGTTGCTTCAGCCATTTCATTTAAGGTTGCATTTAAGTACTTCTCAACTTCACACCACAGAAAGGAGTCATTTGTTTTTTCCACAGGCTTGATCTCTGGGGTGGAATGCTCCTGAAAATGTTCATTCAGAAACTTCTCGTAATCTAGACTTATAGTTTTCTGGGACTCACCATTTATTGGCAATTCATCAAAGTAGTCCAAATCATGCATGTCAAATGAAAATGCTAAATTTTTACCAAATAAAACTCTATCATCACATTCCTCTTTTGTCATCTGGACAAGGGCAGTAAGATTGTCTTGATGAAAACGAGAAGTAATTCGATTAGTAGCATCACAAGCTGCAGTGGCAGACGATGATGGAAAGGGACCAAACATCTGTTTGATAGCCTTTGTCTCCTTTTGACCAACAAAGTCCTTCAAGTGAAATGTCTTGAAGAGAAATGCAGCTGCGCTCTCGATTGCTTCTTTTCCATTATCCATTCCAACTATTCAAATACAAAAGAAGCAGTATTAGCTCAACTGAATTATGGTTCAAGTTATCATTTTCAAAAAAACTCCAATATTCTTCTGAGTAAATCCAACAGCGAAAATATGCTGATAAAGACAACCAATTCAGGAGAAGAAAAACCCTTTTAAGTACATTCCCAAATTCCTAAAGAACTGTCTTAGGTAAATAAATCATTATCAGAAACTATTCTATATTTAAGTACAGAAACTACCTAATAACAACCATTTACCTCTTTCTAAAAACAATTTGAGGCATTAGCTTAAACATATTTAGTTTTATCATCAACTGACTTGATAAGCTAGTTAAATAAAGCAAAATAAGGTATAAAAAATAAATCTGAACTACAGACTTTTGGAGCTGGAAGGAAACCTCAGAGATCTGTAACTTTCTTTCCAGTTTGTACTGAAAATCTGAGATGGCAAGAAATAGATTTATATGGCTTCATTAAGAAACATTTAATACCATCAAGGATGGACATAAATAGAATCTTTTAAAATATACTTAGCCATATCATAAAACATAAAAGAAATCTGCTGTTTAAAAGAGACCAGAAGTAAATTTTTTACCAAAGTAAGAGGAAATAAAGGAGCAGGCCTAATTTAAGGCATTAATTTCTTATATCTGATTTTCTCAAATAAAACAAAACAGAACAAAATTATTTTTGTCACAGAATTCAAAAAATATTTTTAGAGCAGAAAAAATAATTTGAATCTTCAGAATGCTCCAAAGTCAATGTGACTTACTAAAGCAATATTGGTCAAGTTAGAAATATAATTAACACACTAGTACCTATCTTCCTGAAACTATGGCTCTAATCATATCATTAATTACAAATCTTGAGCAACTTACTATATACCTCGGTAATTCAATCCAAACTGCTAAACTTTGTTTTCAAGCCATGCCAGGAGCTAACTTCATCTTTTTTTTTTTTTTCTCGGTTTTACTATTATACATTTCCTACTCCAGTCAACAAGGATTTCTTAACATCCAAACACCAGATCCTATCCCATTCTATGCCTATTTCCATACTTTTATTTAACCTTCCCCAAGGCCTCTGATTATTCAAATTCTTACCATGTTTCAGAATCCAGTTCAATTGCCTCTTTCAAGGTAACTACAATATTGTGTACATTGCTATATTACCTCACTGTACTTAGCCCAAAATAGGTGCCTCAACAGAGATTTGTGGAATTAAACTGAATTCAGGTCTCAATGACACCAGGCTAGTTATTTTTATAATACACCACACTGTCTCCATAACTTCTCATTGTATATGATGCTTACATATATGTGTAGAAAACTAACAATTTATGAGTGAAGAGAAGCAATTTTACAATGTATGAGTATTATTTCCAATTTCTTCAAGTATGAAGTCTATTTTTATGATTTTAAAGAATTTACAAAACACCATCTGACATATTATTCTTTTAGTATTTAGGAAAGTACATGACAAAAATCTTCTATAAATTAAACAGTGCTTTTAAATTAATTAACTGAATAGCATTTATGTACATTTTACTTATTCAGTCTATATATGCGTAGAAAACTAAGATTTTGGATATTTAGGAACTATAATTCTATAGGTAATTCAACAGAACTGGGAATACAAAAGTCTGAGCAAAAATGGAATTCACATTTACAAACTCATTCAACATTTAGAATTGTAAACATGCATTCTTTTGTAAAGATATTATCATTTTGCATCTTGGGACTTTTCTTAAACAACTTACTAAGAACTTTTACATTAAATTATTTCAATTCTTTTTTTTTT